TGTAAGTGCAATTTTTTACCATTCATTTAGTGTAGAACTCCTGTGAATGATTTCTGATTTTATTCCATAATGAATGATTTTATTCCATACTACTCCATCTTTATAGAAAAAAATGTGGGAATCTTTCAAAGAAAGGAAGGAAGTAATCAATTTTAAAATAAGTAACTCTGGATGTGAAGATCACGCAAAGAAGTAACTTTCAGGCATGAATTGGAAAAAAAAGGCCTCCTGAAACAGCTACTTTCATATAAACATTGAATTACACGAAAGAAAAATTCTTTCGAAACAAATACTTTTATATGAACACTGAATTATACAGAAGACACTTTTCTCTACTCTCAACTGTATTCCGAACATTCATTATGGAATAAAATCAGAAATCATTCACAGGAGTTCTACACTAAATGAATGGTAAAAAATTGCACTTACATGGTATCATGTATCATAATAATTAATGTGTGATCATGCCACAAAGCTTGTTATATATATATATGAAATTGTGAGGCACTGGCCAACCCAAATTATGTACACAAAAAACCACAATTTTTCTTGAAAATTGGATATTTTCTGACTCTGATAGATTTCTTAGAACTTATTTATCCTACTTACAGGATATTTTGAATTGCTGGAATTGAAAATTATCCAGAGCAAGAAATAATTTTCTTAAAAATCATTTGTTATTTGTTTTGGTTGGTTTCCTAGTTTTGCTGTGGTCTTCTTTGGTTGCAATCTCCAAACGTTTTAACTGCAACTGCGGCAGTCATCTTCAGTGGCGCGCGAACCCGTCATCACAGAAAGTGCTCAAAAAATAAGAACTATAAATGACATGGCAGAAATGAAAGCTACAGTTTCAGTTGATACGTCAAAAAAAGTACTTTGAACAGGCCACTGAAGATGACTGCCGCAGTTATAATAATAATAATGTCCTTTATTATATAGAAACATTATTCCAGCAAGTTTTCAGCGTAATTCAAGATATGAAGTAAATAAACTTTAGCAAATGACGTTGAACTTACAGAGCCATATTCTAATTTTGACCTTATGTAGGCTACATAAAGAGAGCAGATATGTTTGAAAAATATTTACAATTGCGAACTATAAAGCCATAAACTCTCAATGCTTCACTTACTTTCGATCTAATGTGGTTGGAAAAAGACAAATTTTGATCAAAATATACACCAATATCTTCAATTGAATAACTACGTGACAGTGAAATGGTATCTGCCCAATAATTGTACTCAATGACTGACATTTTTCTACTGTAAGACACTACTTTACATTTGGATGCATCAAGATATAGCTTTTTAACTTCGAACCAAGTATATTTTCTAACTGTCATTGCAATGTATTACAATATTCGATAGTTTCGACATGTAAATATATTTTTAAATCATCTGCAAAAAATAACTTATTACAATCGACATAAGTACTGAGGTCATTAATAAATAATAAGAATGGAAGTGGTCCGAGATTCGACCACTGAGGTACTCCAGATGAAGGATTGTAATAAAAAGAATCATAGCCGTTAAAAGATACAAACTGTTTGCATTGGTAAGTAGGATTTAATGAAAAACACTACTGAATTATGGAAACCAAATTGGTGGAGTTTTTGTAGAAGGATCATGTGATCCAAGCCTATCAAATGCTTTAGCAAAATCAGTATATATCACATCAACTTGACCACGATTATCAAGAAATCACCAACATTTTGTGTCAATACAATTCAATTTGTTATGGTGGATCTGTTTGACATGAATCCATGTTGATGCGGAGATATGATATTACAAACTGAGGAATGTACACGATTATAGATGACAATTTCGAGAAGTTTAACAAAGTTCGATAGGATTGAAATAGGACGATAATTCCGAATATCAGATGGATCTCCACTTGCAGTTGAAACGTTTGGAGATTGTAACCAAAGAAGACCACGACAAAACCCGGAAACCAATTCAAACATTGACGCCAACAGTGAAAGCCTACATTCCTATATTTGTTATTTATTTAAACATATAGATATAACATCGAATGCGTATTTTTCATATAATAATAACATTGTTAATGAAGACATAAGATTAAACATCAGAGAATGAAAAAACTTCTGTCAGAAAATGCTGAAAAATTATAAAAACCAAAGGATTAACAAAACATGATAACAAATGAGAAATGTAGGACTAATTTAGTTTCTCAAATATACCAACTAATATATTCCTAAATATCGAACACTTTGTATATTTAAATACAGTTTTCAACTAAAACGATAATGCCGTGATATTACTCTAAAAACAGTTTACAATCAACGGTTATTTGGATATTATTTGTAGACAGACTATTTTCCAACTCTTGAAAAAAAATCTTCTAGCAAAGCACTGTATGTAGAAGTTGAAAGCCTACAGACGTCTGTCAATAGATTAATACTACTATCAAATAGAGACCAAATATCCATTCTTTGAGGTCATAATATACTAAAAACAAAAAGTAAAACAATGAATTGCCACTTCATCACTTACCTGGTGTATAAATTTTATCTTCACAGAGAGTTTGTACAATGGCGTTCTTTATCATGTTTGCATGCTGGAGATGTCCTAAATGATTCAACATATCAACTGAAGCACTCAACATAGCAATTGGGTTTGCTATATTCTTCCCAGCTATGGCAGTTCCTGTGTTACGAGTACCGGGTTCAAAGATAGCATACTGAAAAGTAACAAAAGGTAAGTCATTTATTAAGGTGTCGTTAACTATAGTTAACTATATATTATGAACACCGCTTCTGGGGACTGATTGGTATGAAAAGTTATTAAAACAATAGAAAAACATAAAAATTAATACATTACATGCTCCCCATAATTTTTGCCAGATAATAGTCCAGCACCTCCGATCAATCCGCAAACAACGTTGGAAACAATACTGCCATACAAATTTGTCATAATCATGACATCGAATTGGTGAGGATTTGAAACAAGCTGCATGCAGCAGTTATCAATAATCATTTCATTGTGTTCAATTTCTGGATATTCCTTTGCAATTTTTTTGGATGTTTCCAAAAATAAACCATCAGACAGTTTCCTGCAAAAAAACCATTGTTCTATATTTCGTTTTTGAGATTGCATGTAAAAAGGCAATACTCCTGCCTCTTCTCCCAAAATCTTCTTAGAATTTGAAACTTCACCAGTTTTCATAATTTCTCATTATCAGAATATTAGTTAGGTTATTCAGAAGGTTGGTTTGAGTGCCAGCTAGGAATCAAAAGTTAAAATATAAAACATCGTTAATCCTTAGCTTGCACAAGTTTTGACTTTCGAGGGTTGGCGTTCGTGGCCGAGTCAGATAATGTAAAACACAAATATGTATACACATACACAAATTTATAAAAATTTTTGGAAATATAAAAAAATACAGAAATGAAAATATTAGATGATGAATAAATAAATACTTTTAAAAGAGTTGTGAAGGTTTATGAGGAAAATAAGATTATCAACTGAATGAGATTATGTATTTTCTTGACAAATTTTCCCTAAATCCTACTAATTCTGAGAATCTATACAAGGTGACCCAAATGTTCTGGTACGGCTCAATTACTTGAACATGTGGAATGGTTCAAGAGAAATAAAGTACCAGGTTCTTTCCTGGCTACCCAGTGGTGACTAAGGATATCACCTGGTCTATGACCTTGCAATTATTTGAAAGTCAAGGTCTGTTTTGATAGGAACATATTTATATTTTCATCACGAAATTTATAAGCGTGGGAAAAATTATGGCCGACTATGATCTTGAGTAACTCTAACATTGACCTTAAAGAAAATTTGAAGGTTAAACATACTGAATTTTACGAAAAAGTGTGGAAGATGTTCAAGTTTTTCTTATGAATCCTCGATAGTGACATAGATTTAATCAAGATCATGATGTTGTACATTATCTAAATAACGAGAAGAGTTTTTAAACTGAAACTCTTATTTGTCTGTTGAAAAAATTATGATCAGGATTGAATATGCTGAGTGTCATTCATAGGATGTATCAAATATTTGACTAATACTGTTTTGTTGACGTATAGTGACGTATATATAATAACTTTTTTGTAAATCATTTCAGTTATTTCTGCAATTTTATTTTATTTCCTCAATTTTTTCACCAAATGGATATCATTCATAGCAAATGCTACATAAAGTAAACAATGAAGGGGTATGAATATAAAATTTCTCTCAAAAGAATTATGTTGCTTTCAAACTAGACCTGGGGTTTTTTAGGTTCGTTTTTTGTTTCCAATGGTTGGGTTCAAATTACCTAGTTTCAATTTCATCCCTTTCATGCACGATTTGTGGAAAATTAATGCACATAAACATGTATTCTTTCTTATTTTTTTTTGTAAAGAAAGTAAATAAACGAATGACGAATATGACACCATCAAATTTACAAACAAGTATTTTCACAATATATCTTTAAGAATAAGCGTCAATTCTACCTTTTCAACACATATGTTCATAACTAGAGGTGGCCTTACCCTCTGGGCATTATTTGTAAAAGTATATTGTGGTCAACCATTCAATATTATACACATTACCTTGTTATAGTGTTATTCACAAGATAAACAGATCAGCCCACAAAACTGACCACCCTCTGTAATATGTTGTTTTACAATGGGTATGTTGACTTGTGGCAACATATATAAATTCCAGCATTATAGTGTTCAGAACGAAACACATTTTATTGCTGTTTTTATACTTTCACTCTATGATTTGAAAATAGTATATTTATTTGGATATTATTTGTAGACAGACTATTTTCCAACTCTTGAAAAAAAATCTTCTAGCAAAGCACTGTATGTAGAAGTTGAAAGCCTACAGACGTTATTCATTTCTGGTAGAATAGTCTAGGATTGGTAAAACTAAAATTTTACTCTGTCAACAACCACCACCTTTTGAATGTTGATCTGCTGTACTTCAGTTTCTAAATTTCACACAAACAGAACAGGAATACAAAAACTAATAAAATATGGTATAAAAAATTGTACCAATGCTAGGTAGGCAGATCTTAAGTAAGTGGGTATATTCAACTCTCCACTGTAACCAGTGAGGGTATATGTGGTTCATTAAAAATGTAAGGATCCCCAATTGTGTTCATGCTAAAAATTGGTACAGTGATTATCATTTTCAAAAATATCATTTGAAAATATGCAATATCAAGCACCTACCATTCGTTATTTCAAGACAACTTTGTTGTCTTATGTAGGTATTTTTTCAAATTACCTTATGTATACCTATACTTTCAATATCAAATTAGAAAATAACTAACCGTTTGTATAGAAAGCTGGCCAATTTAAAATAATGTATCACTATTATACTCACGCTTCTCTTTATCAGGGGTGTCTTGTGCTGTATTTCGAAAGCCGACATTGTGGATTGAGACTGAAATTAAGAAAAAATAACACATCCTGGGTTAGGTTATATAATTATGTCTCACCCTCATCATAAACTGTCCCATGAGAAACACATTTCTCTTCATTATTCCCGATGCCATCTTCAGATCTTGTTCTGTAAATACGGAATTTGTTTGTTCTGGGAGATTCTTTTATTCAAAGTTGCCTCAATTCAACAAGATTTGACTAGAAAAGGAAAGACCCATGACCAAAATTTCTAGTATACAGGTTTTTGATCCAGTGTTGCCAACGTAAAAAAGCAATTTGCACACTACCAACAACCCAAGTAATAATTCATAGTATCTCCATTATCAACTCACATATATAATTTGGGAAGTATACAGTATATGTAGTATAATATCTATGATTTTACTAAAAGTCGACAATCCTATATACTGAAACTTCAATGCAAAACATTTGCAGGGTTATTTGAGAAAAATACATATATTTAAATAGAATGTTGAAATCCGGTATACTATGTTTACAATGGGAATAGTCGAGTTCCCTGATCTAATTTTTTTTCTTCGGCTACTCCTTCAGGCTGGTTCTTAGTTATTCGAATATTCGCATTTTTATTGCAAATCGCAAAATTTTCTGAGCATTCATTTATTTGTTTTCAGCTGTAATTTTTTTTCAACATTGAGAAATCTCATCTCCAAAGTTGATTTGATTGAAGATATAGAAGCAATACATTCAAAACACACTAGACCTGGTGCACACGTGCGTACATTTCATCGCGTTGCTAATTATACATTGAGACGGACGCTGTCTCTTATGACTTATTAGATGCAAAGAAGCAAATGCGCGCGTATCCGACTCTCATCTGCGTGGGCACATAAGAGTCAATGTATTTCAACAACATCCGTCTTAACGCATAATTTGCGGCACATTGAATTGTATACCAAACCGTTATTTTTAAAACCTCCGCACGTGTTTCAATCACCAAGTGATCATCTTCAAGAGAAAGATTAATGATGATCACCTGATGATTGAAACACGTGTCGAGGTGTTAAAAATAACGGTTTGGTGTTGGGATGAAACTCCAGATGCAATTCCATTAGTACAATCTTTGGGTGTTCCCATAACGCAGACCTCAATAATAGCATGTTTCTTTATCGTTTGTAATTGTCCGCGCTTTATTAATAGTTACCGCAATGCCGATCTTGAATGTCATTGGATAACTACAAGAAATAGGCAAGGGAGCATATAGACCTTAGAGCAACAGCCAGCCTTTTTAGCCAAAGCCTCGGCAGATAATAACATTATCCTGAGGTGGATTAAAGGGCACGACAGGAATAAAGGTAATTCCATTGCCGACTCTTTAGCCAAGGAAGCGGCTGGACTAAGAATTTTAGGACCCAGTAGCACCTACGACCTGATAACTTACTTAGACAATTGCGGAACTAGCCAAACGTCACACCCATGCTCAATCCCTAAAGAGATGGGGTGGAATCAAAGGATGCAATTTTGCCACGATCACCCTGGGCGACCATGGGAAGCTGGCGCCAAAGAAATATCTGGCGATGACCAGGAAAAATCTACGCTTAACACTAGGATTTCTGACTGGCCACTGTCAACTAAGGAAACACCTCCACAATATATATGGGACTAGTAGACACACCTTTATGCAGGATGTGTGAACAGAAAGATGAAACTGTCAGGCATATCCTATGCGAATATCCGGGAGTTATCGTCAATAAGAGAGTGTGTGTTCGGCGAGTCTTGGCCTACACCTGCCAATATAAAGGAAATGTCGCCTAGTGACCTGTCCACCTTCCTGAAAAGGACAGGATTGACGATGACCTGAGAGGACAACTCCTCGGGAGGATGTACAATAGGTCACATGTAGCCTAAGTGCTGTGGGCCTACACTCACCCTCCCTATTCTACAGATACAGAACAGCCAGCCTTTCTGGATTCTGAAATATTGAACTGTATTAATCTCGGTCCTACCCATCGACATAACCTTGGTTATGTCGGCGGTCCTACCATTGAAAACAATTTGTCAAATTGAAATCGAATTACACGGCAATACTTGAAATGAACTTAAAATGGAATTACTCATTCAAAAAGGCGTTCTATCTGATTAAACGCATCAACTGTTGTCTTCTTTCTTCACTTGTAGAAGAAAAATGTCATATAAAAGTATGTGTTTCATTGTTTACTTTTTTTCGTTGACTCGAACTGTATACTGTACTTTGTGCACTATTGCTTTGTTATGTGTTGAACATGCGAATACATGCAATGAACTCTTCTTATTATTTATCTCATGTCTACGAGGGCGTAGAAGGTTCACAAAAAGCATTATAATTTTTTCAGAATTCTCACTTGCAACTGTGAATTCACACCTATAACTGTGAATTCACATGAAAACAAAATCTAACCTGTAATGTTACCTAACCAAAACTATATTCAACCAATGAATTTTATTACATGATATGTTTTCCAAGTTCGAGTTGAACTAGTTGAATCTAACTTCGGCCAGGTTAGTTTGTTTTACATTAAAAATCATATACTGAATACATTTGCAAAGAATGTAACTTGCTGTCATCTATTGTGCCATGTAAAAAGTATACATGTGAGGAATTTCCTATATACACAGACGTTTAAGTGTGAATTTGTTAACTTACAGCTGTAACTGTGAATTCACACTTGTTAATTAATTGTTAATTCACAGGTATAACTATGAATTGTGGATAAATGATATTATCGATTTTTATGGTCTTTCTACGTTTTCGTACGTCGTGTCAATCTTTCATTACATATTACCTATAATTTGGATGGAGTTATCCAACTTCGCTATGACCTTGAAAAATAGGAAAGTTGTGAAAAATGAAACTTCCAATTTTTTCACCACTTTGTACAATACTGTTTATCGTAATTGTTTGAAAATGTCATTATAGTGGCAAAAGAGAGTTTCATTTCTCATGATGATCTCCTACCACGTAGTAACGGCACAGATTATATTTAATCTGTGGGAACGGCTACATCCATCAATTTATTGAGAGGAAAGTTATTAATAATTTTAATTTTGTTTCCACTGAAGCCAATCTTAGTCAGTTGTAAAATTCTCTAGAATTCTTCGGTCAATAAGACACACTAACTTTCATGATGTTTAATGATTTAATCAAGACACAACTTTACATATGAATATTGTCGAGCGGAACGGAATGGACTCTCAGTCGAAAGATGACAACCGTCAAAAAACATAGAACATGAATCACAAAATACATGAAACAACATACAACACGTTTTTCATTTTTTTTTTAAGCAGAAAGGTGATCACAGACCTATGGCACACATATGAAAAACATATTTTTCATTTTTGAATACAGTTTTTTTCATTTACATTAATGAATTTTCATAATTATAGAATTCGTCAGCATGAATTATTGAAAAAAAAACATAACGTCGGTCCACAAAGGCCCCTAGATACCAATTTTGAATGAAATCAAATAATATAATATCCCTCCGATTATCAACTAAACCAACCGCCATTGTTTTATGGTCCAACTATCTTCAAATGTAAACAAACTCTCCATAACCCCTCATTACCCCCCCCCATGCCAATAAGTTGTACAGAAAAGGATAGTACGATACCCGTTTCAAATCACATGTATTGTATTAGTATAGACCATAAAACTGTGTGGCTGTTTTGTGGTATACTATGTCTTATTATCACTCTGAGGTATTTTCTGTGGTTATGTACTACATAACCTAACCTCTTTCAAATCTTCAAAACAATGTAAAACTAGGCAAATAAATAAACACAAAAATGACGACCAGTAGTTCAAGCGGAATTAAATTGTACTCTAGGTTAACAGACCAACGGTCCAAAGCCAAAAAACGCTCTAGCGCCAATACGACTGAACAAAAACCCAAAAAAGACCCCAGCTTGATGGCTTTAATAGTTGACAGTGGAGCCTACAGCATAAAAGCCGGATTATCCACTGATCATCTTCCCACGATCGTCCCCAATTGTATCATGAAAGCCAAGTCCGAGAGAAAGAGACTGTTCATAGGAAACCAAATCAATGACTGTCGAGACTGCTCCGGTTTGTATTTTCTACTGCCTTGCGAACGGGGCTATATCACAAAATGGGATGTTCAAAAACCTGTGTGGGACTATGTGTTTAGCAGGAACGTCTGTCCGGTTAATGAGAAGCCAGTAATCATGACCCAACCGCTGTTCAATTTCAAGTCGATCCAAGACTGTATGGATGAGATTTTTTTCGAGGAGTACGAAGTATCGTCGATGTTCCGCGTGAATCCAACAGATTTGACAAAGCTGAAGTATGCAGAAGAGCGCAAACTGACTGAGAATATACCTTGCATGATTGTTGATACAGGTTTCAGCTTTACCCATATCATACCATATATCGGTGGTAACAAGTACCTTAGAGGAATCAGAAGATTGAATGTAGGTGGAAAACTTTTGACGAATCACCTGAAAGACATAATTTCCTATAGACAGTATAATGTAATGGAGGAAACGTTTGTGATAAACCAGGTGAAGGAGGACACTTGCTATGTGGCGAAGGATGTCAAAGAAGAGTTGAAGCTAGCTGCTAAATCTGACTCAGAGAACAGTATAGTGAAAAACTACGTTCTTCCTGATTTCAATAATATCCGCAGAGGCTACGTCCAGGACCCGAATGATCTCCTGCAAAAGAATAAAGAGGAGGGTTGCCAAATACTGAAGCTCAACAATGAAAGGTTCATTGTTCCTGAAATTCTGTTCCACCCATCAGACATTGGTATGAAATGCATGGGCATTGCCGAGTCAGTGGTTAAGTCAATATACCTGTGCCCAAAGGAGCATCAGGAGAACCTGGTAAAAAACATAGTTCTTGTTGGGGGAAACTGTAACTTCCCAGGATTCAAGGAGAGAATGTACCTAGAGCTAAGGTCGCATCTGCCTCATCTTTGGGAAGTAGTCGTATACCAACCAGAAGATCCCATCACATATAGTTGGGAGGGTGGAAAATCCTTGCTGAAAGTACCCAACTTCAACTCATACCTTGTGACGAAGGAGGAATACGAAGAACTTGGGTCTTTGATAATCCAACAGAGATTCAGTACATGGATGACAGATAACTCAGAACCTAGAGAAGAACCTAAGAAAGCTGAGGAAAACTACTGCTACCTGGATCAGTTCAGGAGTAAGTCCATTTTTGGCAAGGAGGAACAAGGAATTGATAATCTCCAAGTGCCTGGCAACAATAAGAACTCTGAGAAAGAAAGTGCAGATAGCAATGTTGTTGAAGAAATGATAACTTCCGAGCAAATAGGGCTGGACAATACAGAGCATTTGGCTGAGAGAGATGGTAGACAGAAGAGAGCAGCTCTAAGGCCTAACATGCGTTTGAGCCAAGAGACCAGCTTGGACTTTTCTAGTAGTGATGATTTAACTAACTCTGTTGATATATTTCCTTTCGGTACCCACTCGTATTTGTAGTCTTCTAGATTCTTTGTTACTTTATATTACGTGAGAAAAATTGTGATAGGTTTTTGTACAGTTGTTCTTTTTAAAAAAAAAAAATAAATAAAAACTCATTGAAGCTGTATAGATCATACACAGATATAACATGTCTCTATTTGGGTCAAGGTTTGAGGTTTACTTTAAAAGAATCTATATGAAAGAAGGAACAATATTTTGAAATCAATACTTTTACTATCCAAATAGGGATTATATTATATGTCATGATGAGGTGTACTTCTAAAACTATTTGAAAAAAATCCGACTAGAGGACTGGTTTAGGCTGCTATGTATTCATGAAACTAATTTTGGTCTCTTGCAATGATGCAAGAACTTAGGTAAGTTGTACAGAACCCTGTTATTCCTTCGAGCAGCCTTTAGAACCGAAGTAAAATTAATGTTTATATAATAACTTTCCTGAATAAAAGGGAAACTCCAATTAATAATAGTGATTTATTCATCTTATGAGATAATACAGCACATATATAACAATTTGTTCATGGCAAAAAAGGTAAATAATGAAGTACAAATATTGATAACAGAATTATGATTGTACAACCTTATGAAACTAATTGTGACTCATAACCTAGTCCAAGCTTTGACTCTTTTTGAATAGATATTTTCAGTTGATTTGTAATTGCATTATATTTCCCAGATGTGGAATAATATGGATAAGAAATCTCTGACCTATTGAGTTTTGTGCTCTTGGTTAGAATTAATTGGCTGCTGATATAACTTGGGCATTATAGTTATATCCTATTCTAATAGATACTGGCTTATCGTAAGTAAGTTATAAAGTTGTTTTGAGTTCACGATGCCAAATTTGTTGAACAAAGATTCCGTAGGGTATCGAGGGGGTTTATTGCATGTAATTTTCAGTAGGCATTTTTGGAAGATTTCTAATGGCCTAAATTTGTTTTTTCTAATATATCCCTAGTTTATTATTCCTTGTATTGTATTGAAGGGTCTGCCAAAGCTGTTTAAATTTGTAAATAAATCGACGCACGTTTCACCAACCAAGTTGGCATCTTCAGGAGATGAAGTTGAACTTTCTTCATCTTGCGAAGACGCAAACTTAGTTAGTTAAACGTACGTCAAGAAGAGTATTGCATTTCTGGTGATTGGAAGAAGTACTTGTTTTTGGATTTATTCTACGCCAGAGGTTCCAGTTTTACTTTTTATGTGAATTCTACTTCAGAAATGAATTTATCAAGATGCTAAGTTTATAAGCTCAATAGAAATGTTGATAGATGTCCATAAAGTCTTTTTTCCAAGATTTATGAGTTTTGCAAAATAACTTGAAGGTTTCCGCGATTTCTATTGGGTTAGTTTTCGTTTTTCCCGTTTATAATACCATGTTTTTTGACACTTTTCTTGGTATTAGCAATTTGTTTCAATTTGTCTCGCATCTTATTTGAATTCATTAGCATGTGCAGGGAATCGCACGTTAAAAGGTAAGCCCTCGTTAATCTTTAGTTCGCACGTTTCGACTTCTGAGAATTGTCGTTCGTAGGAAGGCGACAGCTGGTAAACGAATTTTAACTACAGATCAGTTATCCGGGTTTTTTTTTATATTTCTTTGTGTGTGTTAACGTTGTTGTCGCGAAATCAATATATTTGTTACTTATCCGTAGAAGGCATCAGTAGCAGATGCTACTCAGAGTACTCCAGTTCTCATTTCTAACTTTCGCTTTAAGAAGATTGGTATTGGTCAACTTTTGTGTAGAGACCTCATAAGCAACATTGTTATCAGATGTAGGTTTATCCATTTGGATTTGTGTAGTAATGAAGTAATGGTCAGTTATGTTTGTTCTGTTGATATCGATGCAATTTTCAGTTTTTGCCTTGTGAAAAATATCAATACATATAATAATAAGTGAACACATTCTTTTTCTGACCTAATATCCAAATACTCCTCGATTGTATCAATTTCATATGCTTTTATGTCTAAATTTACATCACCTTTAAAGAAAATCATTATCGGGTTATTAACTATTTGTATTCGCAGATCTGCTATTAGTTGTTGATGGAGGTTTGGTAACGTCTTGTATATTGGCTTCTCCGATTGTTCATCAGTAGGGTGTTGTATTTGGGACGCTTCAAGTTTCAATTTCTGTTTTAACTTCCTCTTCCCTACGTTCGATGGCAAGTAATTGATTGACCGAGTAGTCTATATCATCATCTATCAAATTATTGCCTCTTGAAATTGCCTGTGTTTATAGAGGTGTCTTTTAACAATTACAAGATTTTATCTTTGTTGCTTGGTAAAGTCGTGAGCTATTGAGATGCTCCTTCCTTTAATTGAACTTTAAACTCGTCACCAAGGTAATCAAAGGTTATTTCATGACGTTCTATATTTAGTCCAAAAATAATATTATTTGATTTTTATGATGCTCCAATTCTTCAACATTGAGATTTCTCTCTTCTAATTTGGATTCTTGCCTCACTAGTATCAATTGAGCACTTTCCTGATTTGTTCTGTAGGGAGATTTATAGTGCGTGGAACCCTTCACTTGAGATTCTTATCGATTTTTATTGGAAAAGCTAACTTTGTTCTATTGATTTGTGATTTTTCTATTTATGACAAATATTGTCTACTTGGTTATGTGGTAATTTGCTCAATCTTCCAGTTAGATCCGTCACAGATAATTGAAAAATTCACAGCTGCTATCAGTTTTCTACATATCAACACTTCTGTCCCTATATGTGTATAAAAGAGTTGTACACATTTACCAGCGGTTGTAGTAATAATTAGTTTTCAATTTGTGACTTCAAAATAAAGCATCCAAATTGCTACACATTCAACTTTTAGCATAATCTTTTAAAAAGGTCGCATTTGGAACAGAGGTTCGATGCAATGCAGCGAAAGTAGATAAGGATATTCACTTCTCTTGAAAGGTCTGATGTTAATTTTGAAATTTTCGTCCGTAATAAACACTAAACTTTTAGTTTACATCGGAGCATCAAAAAAACACGTGTGCCCTTCATAGTTTTCGCCATTCCCCCTAAGAATGGTTAACTAATAAAATTCAAAATTTTCAGAAATGAAAATATTTCTTGATAATGTCATGGCTCACAAATCTGTTAGCAGAGTTGATTTATTTGTTGGGTGTCAAATTTTATATCAACTTGTCTTGGTAGAATGGCAAAGATAGGTTCTCATAAGAAATTGGAATCATATTTTTTCTAGAATGTTAGGCACAAATCATCAACTTTTGATGCTTTTCGAAGCTTCAAATCATACATTATTAGGAATAGTATGTATACGGAGCTCTGGCTCCAATTAAATCCTAACGCTGCTTAATTCTATTCAATAAAGACCCATCTGCCTGATTAGAGACTCAAAACTCACAAACTTCACAGGGAAGTATCAGCAAGATTAAGCACTATATGCCCAGCTACCTTAAGAATATTTTTCATGACCTTATTGTTGATGACATTAAAATTGCATTTGTTATCTCAAGTATTAATTAAAGTATCAATTAAAGTTGAAGGATTGAGTGCAATAAAATGGGATTCAATAACAGGAAGGTGTTGATCAGACAAATGTGGAGAAGTGGCTTCCACTTCAGCAATACCATATAAAAAGAAAATGCGGTGATATTGCTATGTTGCTAGTTGAATAAGTGAAGTCGTAGTAAAGTCACGCCTGAAGAAGGTATTATATAGCGAAACACGTGTTGCGTTTTTATAAAACTGTTCACTAAAAATCTCACAATAAAGTGTTTCTTGAATATGTTATGGATTTTCATCAAAAGTAACGGCCGATTCTATCATATATATGGAGTTCTTTATTTACAGCTTTGTTAACGTTGATAAATCGGGTTGGAATAATTTTGTTGCGATTTATAGTTGGTTTTGTTTTTTATGCATATGTAGTAAACATTGGTTTATATGTAGTTTGTCAATGTTAAAGATGTCTAGGTCTTCGTAAAGCCTATCAGTGGAAAAACGTTTGCTTTTCTTGTATACATAGAAAACTAACTCCCAAGACAGCTTATACAAAAATCAGTGACCAATACTAATAATAGAGAAATTATTAAACAACTTAAAATAAATGAATACACATTCAATCGAGTGAAAAACATAATGCATAGGTTTCATAGTAGCAATAGAAAAGTTATCAAATAATTTCATATCTCAAATACACTTTATGGTGGAGAAAAGTGAGATAATACTTTCATTTAATACAATGTTTATATGAAAGTAGTTGTTTCGAGACGGCTTTTTCTTCTAGTTTGTGTCTGAAACTTACGTCTTTGTAGAGTTAATTTTGAAATTGATTGCTTTCTTCAAAAGATATCTTTGTATAAAGATGGAGAAATAGAAATCCAAAACCTTTCTTTCCCTAAAATTAATCTCTCCTGAAAATATACCCCTTTCAATTTAAATACCTTATTTTTTCAAACAGTCTGATGATGCTGAAAATAAGTGTGTTTTGTCACACAACTGATTGAATTTATTGCATAATTAAATTAATTGAAGATTTGCTTAAAATATTGGTTCTTGCTGTAGGTAGATAGAATCATAGTTCATTTCTACTGTTCAAACATAGTATACAAAAACACAATTGGGATAAAAACTCTGGACAATGAACCTTTTTCCTGAAGTACGAGAAATCACTCACTAGCAGCGCTAGTAGTTCGGTAAGGACAAACACTGCCTAATCTTCATATAAAAATATATGGTAAAGTACAATTAAAAAAGAATGTTTTTAACAGAAGAAAATGTTCCTGGAGCAAAACTAAAATTTGCAACTGTGAAGGATAACAATGTTGTAACATTTATTTCTGTATTTTGTGGGATTTGTTTTTTTTTACCAATCTGTTAAAACAATCTATATGATTTTGAAGTAGTTCACTGCTACTAAGTGCTACTACCCTGAATAGTTTCAGATCATGAGCAAAAAAAAGAATGCTGCTAGTTAAAGCATTTCCTATGTCACTAAAAGAGTGATGCTGAATTATTTCTCCGAGTTTGTGACATATGGCCTCGATATTCCATATTTTGAGAGCTATTAGTTTATATTTTTACCTATTTTTCTAAGAAGACAACAGTTTTATTGAGGTTGCTATTTCCGTGATTTCACGTGGATATTAAAATAAAAAACAAAGAAAAAATAAAATACTGCTACAAATACTGAACTTTAATGAACTGTCTATACAAAATTAAACTCAACTCCAAATATTGTGGGAAGCAACTCAAAATATAATATTTTGAAAAGCAATAAAATTTATGAGATTTATAACTATTCACTTATAACTATTTAAAAAAAATCACAGATAGTGTTTATAATCAACAATTTTAGTTTGAGACTAACATGAGTTCTAAAAGGACATAAAGAGATAACAGATTTTCTGTAAGATGAACTTAGTATTCTATTCATCATCAGGAATACTCAAATCTTATTCTATAATGTAAAATCAAATAAATATTAATAATTATTACAGCCATACGATGAACACAATTATTTTTCTTTATGCACAAGAAGTAGGAGGTTCAATTTCCATAATTTCTGATTCTCTCAACTTGCATAAATTTATGAAAGTATCTCTCAACTTTTCCTGTTTCTCCATTTCAGCAGCAATCTTTTTGCCTCTGGCTACAATTCTGCTATCTAGGCCAGCCAATCTTGCAGCATTAAACCCATAAGATTTCGGACATCTCCCACTTGCTAATTTATAAAGAAAAGTTACTGACTCTTGGGTTGGATCGTCATCATTTTCCACCATACAAGCCTGTGTAAAATAAAATTATAATTGAGACAGTATGAAAGTCATTGAATATATTGAATACATTTTTCAGATAATCCAAAAATACTTTGGGTTTTTTAGTAGAATGTCATGCACGCATGCACGCACACGCCGCCTATACGCACACATACACCGCACACATACACCGCACTCATACAAATCTCACACGCACACACCTTACGCGCATGCATGCAGGCGCCTCGCGCTTATGCACACACATAACCTCACATGCATGCACACACCCACGCATGCACAACACACGTCACACACAGGCACAACCTCACACCCGCGCACGCACACACCTACACACACTGCACAATCGAACATTGTACAATCACAAACTTTCTTTTAGTTTGTATATGAAAGAAAAATATTTCATCGATCTACATATTTTCTTGAAGAGATTATCTAGAGAATGTTTTCCAAGTTTTATATTTTTTTGTATATAAATGAGCAAAAAAAAAAATTATTAATTTTTTTATCAAAGCCCGTATTATTGATCGAAGTAAGTTACAACATGAATACAGACAAAAATTTGTTGCAAGCTAAAAGGAAACTAGACCAAAGTTTGATGAAACATGTCCACTATAAAAAAATTAAAAGCAAAAACTCACCATATGACCAAGTTGGACATTCTTATTTTGAATAAACTCATCGACAAGGGAATGATAATGAGTTGAGAATGTTCCTCGACATCTGATCCTTGTTAATTTGTTGAGATAAGCCGTAGCTACAGCATTACCATCATGAGTTGAAGTGCCTCTTCCAAGCTCATCAATGAGTATAAGAGAATGTTCTGTAGCATGTCTGAGAATAGAACAGGCTTCAGTGAGCTCATTATAAAAAGTGGATTTACCACGGATTAGGTCGTCCTGAGCTCCTATTCTAGTAAATACTCTGTTTATCAGAGTAAGTTTGCAGTCAGATGCTGGAACAAAGCTTCCCTAAAACAAACAGAAATGTAAGAGTATCCAAAATGACGGATATCAATTGAGACTTACAATTTGAGCCATGATGGAAGTCAGGGCCATTTGTCTCATTAATGTCGATTTGCCACCCATATTGGGACCAGTAATGACCAGCATTCTAGCTTTGTCTTCTACTCCCATTTTTATATCATTTGGCACAAAATTTTCAGATCCCTCGCCACATGGATAGCGGCCATTTTCGATAACCAAACTTGTCTAGAATTAAAATATATGAATATAGATTATCAACTGGTTTTGTAGAACAAGCAGCATTCTAATAATAAATGGTTTTTCAAGAGTAAACATTTCCTGTATAACGTACCTAAACAAATTTTATTATTTCAGATGTTTTCCAATGTAACATAAATTGTAACTTGAGGTTAATGAAATTTATTCATCCAAGTAGTAAACTCTTCAATATATTACTATTGAACAAACATTAAAATACATCTTTTTGTCAGTTCAAAATTTAAATAAATGTACTATAGAACAAAAACGTCATTTATCGATAAATAGTTGAATATTACCTGAATATGACAATGTATATGTGCGATGACTTTCTAGATATAGAGTTTCTTACAAAATATTCATTCAGATGAAAAATTGAAAGTGATACTGAAATTTTATTGTTAATAATCTTTTTCAAATATTTTTCTTATACAAAGAGCAATCAGATATACTTTTTTAAACAATGAAACTTCCAACCCTTCATCATTCACACGTTCCTGTATTTGTCATATTTTTAATAATAATTTTTCTCCAAGTTCCGACTTGAGGGTGTGTTAGCATTAATAACCATTCCCCCCAAACCGTGAAGTGTGGGGAATGGTCATGGGAATCATGTTCCTTGAAAAAAGGCTATGAGCCAAGAATGACTGTCAAGATTTCTGCTATAGTGAGACAAGCCAGTATGTTCTTGAAATTGGAAAAGAGAGGACAGCATTCCACCAAGGACTACAATAATCAGTACAATGAATTCAACAAAGTGTTCTAGGTAGAATCTGATGAGTTCAAAAAGAAAATCTTGATATCTCATGATTTTCCTCCCTATATTCAAATATAGAAGAGGACTAATATTGTCTTACTTTGATGGCCAATGAAAACTAGGCTAGGTTTATTGTTTTGTATAAGGTTGAGGAAAGGAATTCCAATAAATTCAGCACTTGTAATTCCTCAAGAAGAACCCAATAAATGCCCAAGTGCTATGCAACAGGATCTCAGGCATCTCGCGGTAGGTCCTGCACCTGCAGTCAGGAACCTATCAAGCGGCTACGGTAGACTAAGATGTTGAAGACACTATCCTGGCAGACCATGATAAATCTCTCATTTTCCCACTTTAGTCCACTCGGCCTGAGTAAAGCAAATGTTTGGTGCTTCAATACGATGATTTCTTTGATATTATTGAAGATAACCTGTGTACCCTGCAAAGTAAGTTGATCTCTACGGCTTTGATGTAAGCCTTTTGTTGGTGAAAGAGTGTGATCACCTTGTTCAGGGTAAAAGTAAACAAAGTTTTTTCCGCTTAGAGAGCTTCCTCAAAAAGAAATGATACATTCCAGGCTACTGCCAGAATCATTCTGTTAGCATAACTGTGGACGGTTTGGGAGGCATATCCCTATGAAGCAGCTTCTCCTGAATCCATTCATTACTCCAAAGGAGTAGAGTTCTATTATCATTATTATCATACCCTCTTGCTAAAAATCGATTTTGTAATCATTTTTAAATAATTGGTCGACAATCACACTAAATGATATCAAAACTATAACTGTGCTGTATCTAAAGTCAGAAATCACATAGTGAAAAAACAAAAGTGTCAAGTTCATAGAACACCTTTGAAACTTATCACTATTTGATAACTTTCCGGAACATCTATGAACTGTAGCCAATGATATATCATTATTTCTACTGTAACTTGATAATTGGAGTCACTTGAGCAACCACAGAATATCTGTACCAAACTGAAGAGTAGCAAGCCCATAACTTTTAGACGGGACATAAAATTTCGCCAAATCAATAGTTTAGGTAAAAATCCCCAAGAGTATCAGAAATAATTAAATCATAACATGAACATCTAAGTAGTAAAATAAACAAACCAGAAAACTTGTTATATCTTGTACAAAAATATAATATATATTTGATGTTTGAGAAAATTACTTCATACCTCCTTATTGAAAGGCTGGACATCTGGTATGCACAGTTCCATAGAATAAGTTCTGGCATAATCTGCTAAAGAACAAAGAACATCCAAAATTGTTAGACACTGAATGGCTTGATCAAACTGTTGATGCCTGAAAAAAATAGTCAAAAAACATAAAATGATTCATCAAATATTCATCAACTGTTCAAAAAGAAAAGACAAAGGTAATACTTTTCACTGAATTGTTCAAAGATTCGTCTATTCAGATCTAGGATCAGTTCATTTCTTTCTGCTTCGGTTCTCATCATAGCTGCCAACAACTCCTGAAACAAATAATGACCATCAGTGATCTAGCACAAACAGAAAAATTAATCACTAACTTTTGTTCTGGCGGTGGAATATCTTTTGGCAGGTTTCTTACTTGTTTTGACACCTTCAAGCTGGTACTCTTTGGTAACTAGGTGGCACTTCTCTTCTGGAACTTCCAGTTGGAATCGTTTTTTGTCAGTACCAAAATACTGAACTCTGCAACCGAAAAATTTACACTGTTCATCTAAGTAATCTGACAACTCTTTCGAGAGTTTTTTGAGTTTATTTTCAACTGCATCATACTCTGCAACTACCCCTTGTTTGGGGATTATTTTACCCTGTTCCTCTGCTTCTTTCTGATCAAAAGCAGTCTGTAATTATTCAAGAGTATTAGAGAAGTTCAAATATTTTAATGACTTTAGATTACTTTAAAAAATGCAAGAGTGGTACTGAGGTCTACATAGGCTCCTACTGGAGCAAACTGCGTTATTTTTTTCAGAAGTTTATCATCACATCCTGAAAAATAAAATAAAACCATGAAAGAAACCTTATAAAACTTATTTGTATTTTACTCATTATCATTATTAAAAATATATCATCAATAATCTATAATAACACTTCCAAAATACAAATCATGAAATTATAAAACAAGAATAAAAATTAATTGGCGCTACGGGGCCACTTCATTGATTCCAGTGGCGCATTTGCTTTTTTATCTGCAGGAAAACCCGGAAAAACCTGCAGCACCACATCATCTGAAGATCTTGATCTGCCAATGTACTCTCTTTCATAAAACAAAATGTAAGGTGTCTCCAGAGGCTCCAAAAAATTCATTACATCGCCAGAACACTTTGTGACACGATTATCGTCAAACTTAAACCAGTCCGTTTCGTCTTCTTAAATATTTTTCAATAAGACAATTTTTTGTTTTTATAGTTCTTATTTTGATAGGCAAAGTTATTAAATACGACCAATTACTGACAAATAGAACATTTTTCTAAGTGAAAAATACTATGAATTTACACGATAACTTATCGGGGTGAACTAAAGAGTTTGCCCTTTCTACATGTCTATTGAGTTCTCCGTTACAATTTTAATATTTTTCAGAATATGGAAGATGAAAATACCCAAAGAAGATCGATGAAATCTCTGACTTTCCTTCACAAAAAGTGACTTTTGTTCAATATCTATACTACAATTTGAATAGTAAATTACTGTGTTATTTAACGATTGTTCCTACAAGATTGCTGCTCTTATGGAAACATGACCTGCTGAGAGCAGTTTTTCAAGAAATACTTATCTGGACTCACAAAGTGACAAATACTAATTTGCATTTGATTCATCATCATTATTAAATATTTTTCAAATGAGACAATTTTTCATTTCGATTATTTAATTTACACTCAAAACTATTTCTGAATTTGCTCAGAGATTAATACAAATACTACAGAAATAAAGAAACAGAAAAGAAATTAAATGAAATCCTGTATATATTATGTGCTACAGCAAAAATTCTTATGTATTCAAAAAACACTGTATTGTGAGATTTTCACTGAACGATTTTACAAAAACGCAACACGTGTTTCGCCCGAAGAAGCCGACAATTTGTCCATCATATATCTTATAAGGATATAATTGCAAGGATCAAAATATATGTCTAGATATAAAAAATGGCTCGGCCATCGGGATGATTAGTAGACAAAAATTTATTGCCATAAGCGTGAATCCTAGAAATTAACAGAAGCATTTATAAAAGTATATTACGAAACAGTAACAAAATAAGAAGCATACATCAGAAACATCATCATTCAACCATAAGTAATTTCGACTCACTTAGTCAGCTGCCTTTCCAAATCTGGCATTTTCTTTAACACGGCTCTTGCGTTATTAAAAATAATTTGATTGTGAACCAGTGTCACAACAGCTTTTTGTCTTTCCTTTATTTGATCTGCATTGCACAAAGGTCGACATATCCACCTCTGCAGTAGCCTACAAACAGTTCAAATATGTTCAAATGAAAAGTTGGCAAAGCCAAAAATTTCTTGCAGATTTCACCTTTTTCCAAAAGGAGTTTCACAACGATCTAATGCATACTTCAGTGATCCCTTGTTGGCTCCAAGAAGGTTTAAATTATTTATTGTATTAGAATCCAAGATCATGAACTCTCCATCAACTCTTTTTTCATCAGTCATATCTACTGGTTCATACCAGTGAAATTTTGCAAAGGAGAACACATGAATATCAATTTTTGAATTTTTCAAATACCACATGCATGCTCCAAGACATCTTATGGAATGTTCAGCAGTAGGTTTTGGCAAACCTTCAATTACAAATAAAAAAGGATTTACGTCAATAACGCATAGATGGTAAAATGCTTCAAAGATAAATTTCAGGGCCTAGTCCAATCTATGAGTGCTCAAGAGTGAGGTTTGAGTGCATGAAATAAGCGAGTTTTTGATTTCGAGGCTTCGTTGGGAGTAGTTACTTGGTCAGAATACTGAAAGTCCATATCCTTGGAACGTGAGCATGAGATGTGAGGGGAGAAAAAAATCCAATTTTTTGGTTTTCCTGTTTGAACTCGGAAACACTGGACTCTAGAATTGTTTCTATACATTTGTCGGACTTCCAACAATTTTGCAAGTCATTTTTGAAATAATAAATTTCATTAAATGACCATAATGGAAGTATTTCCATGAATTGATGATAATTAACAAAAAAGCATCTTCAAGAGTTTTGGAAGTAGCTGGCCATCCCCCCTTTTCCAATACCAAACTAGGCTTCATCAAAGTTGTTATCAATTTTCTTACTGAGTGTGTATAGTTGGCTGTGATCTGTAGGTTTTTATGGCTGACGTTTCGTCTATGACTACATTGGATATTATATAAAGACGAAGTGCTCTAGTTGTCCTGGCAGCAGATCTATGTGAAAGCTCACACAGTGTGTATAGTGCACTCTCTCCAGGTGTCGGAGGCCATTGCACATAATTCGTAATAAGTTGATAAAAGTTATACTTGAAAAAATCTAGTCGAAAATGAAGTAGCAGAAGTATATACAAAATTGAAGTAAATTTAATTCTCGACTTTGTCTTCGGCAATTTGTCCGACAAACTGTTGTGGGAGGCACAAGAAGCAAATGTTTGACAAAAAATAAGGTAATGATTTTTTCAAACTGTTGTAAATTCAACAAATATGTATACACGCCGCCTATACGCACACATACACC